CCAAAATACGTTAGTCTGTTGCATGCTTCAATGTCTCTGGATCTATTTTTTTCATCAGTTTATTTTGTTCATTAGATTCCACATATGAGTGAGATCATGTGATATTTGTCTCTCTCTGACTGACTTATTTCACTTAGCATAATACTCTCTAGGTCCCACCATGTTGTCTCATAGGGTAAGAGATCCTTCCTTTTTACAGTTGCATAGTATTCCGTGGTATAAATGTACCACAATTTTTTCATCCATTCATCTACTGATGGGCACTATCTTAACCATTTTTAAGTGCACAGTTGAGTAGAATTAAGTGAAACAGCTCCCCAGAACTTTTTCATCATGTAAAACTGAAATTATATACCCATTAAACAACAACTCTTCTTGTGCCCTTCTTCTCATCCCCTGGTAACCACCATTCTACTTTCTGTTTCTATGAATTTGACTACTTTAGATACCTCATATAAATGGAATCACACAGTGTTTGTCTTTTTGTGACTGGCTTATTTCATCGAATACCGGGTTGGCCAAAAGTAGGTTTACAGTTGTTCATATGAAAAATAATACAATAATTAATAATAATCTAAGAATAAACTCTTTGTGTTTTATGTACTCATGACTATATACCTACTTTTTCCCCACCCTTTATATACCATTTCTTGTGTATCCATTCATTCATCAATGGACAGGAGTTGCTTTTCCACCTTTTGGCAATTATGAATAATGCTGCTATGAACATAGGTGTGCAGATATCTTTTTAAGACCCTGCTTTTGATTTCTTTGGATATGTACCCAAAAGCAGAATAACTAGATCATATAGTAATTCTATTTAAAAATTTTAAACTAAACTACCATACTGTTTTCCATAGTTGTCTGCATATAGTCACCCTAATTTTGGGCCCTATTTTTAACAGTTCTTTATATATTAGTGATATTAGTTCTTTGACTGTAGTGTATTACAAATATTTTCTTCAAATGTATTCTCTTTATTGTGTTTCTCATGCAAAATTTTTATATTTTTATGTAGTGAAAAGTTTATCAATCATTTTTTATTGTCTCTGGACTTTTTAGCAACTTTATTGAGATTACCTTAAAGTTCACTCATTTTAATTGTACGATTCAATGACATTTAGTAAATTCACAGAGTTGTACAACTATCACCACAATCCAATTTTAGAGCATTTCCGTCACCTCAAAATGATCCCTTATGCTATTTGCAGTCACTCCTGGTCCCACTCCCAATCCCAGCCAACCACTAGTCTGCTTTCTGTCTCTAGAGATTTGCCTATTATGAACATATCATATACATGGAATCATGCAGTATATGGACTTATTGTCCGGCTTCTTTCACCTATAATGTTTTGTGTTGTTGTTTTTTGTTGTTTTTTTAATATATTTTTATTGATTTCAGAGAGAGGAAAGGAGAGGGATAGAAACATCAATGATGAGAGAGTCATTGATCGAGCCCACAACCCGGGCATGTGCCCTGACCGGGAATCGAACCCCGATCGCCTGGATCCTAGGTCGACGCTCAACCGCTGAGCCACGCCCGGCCGGGCTCACCTATAATGTTTTTGAGATTCATCCATGTTATATAGCATGTGTCAGCACTTCATTCCTTTTTATTGCTGAATAGTATTTCATTGTCTGGATATACTGTATTTTGTCTGTCCATTCAGCAGTTAATAGACTTTGGTTGTTTCACCTTTTTGGCTATTATGAATAATGCTGCTATGAATATTCACTGGCAAGTTTTTTTGTGAACATGTGTTTTTTATTGGGTAGATACCTAAAAGTGGAATTGCTGGGTCGTATGTTTAACTTTTTAAGGAACTGCCAAACTGTTTTCCAAAGTGACTAATGTTTACCTTCTCCTCATGCTTCTGGGTTTTGATTCATAGTTAGAAACCCTTTTCCTACACCAAGGTTAAAAAGGAATTCACCGATGTTTTCTTCTAGTCCTTATGTTGGTTTTATGTTTTACTTTTCATTTGGAGTTTATTATTGTGTATGGTGTGAGTCTGTTTTCTTTTACTATCTTGATTTTCAGTAACTCTTAACCTTTTTTCCTGATTATAAAAGTGATGCATTGCTTCTTGTGGGAAATTTAGAAAAGTATAGAAATTAAATCTTAAAATTACCATAATTTCATCACCTAGAGATGACCACCTTTGTCTTTGTAATTCTTCCCTTTGGGCAATTTAATCTTGGTTTCCTTGATAATATTATAAGGGTGTTGGATAAAGAAACTGAGGAAAGCTGGGATCTCCTAAAAGATCTCTTAAAGATTTATTCTAATAATAGACCAATTCAATTGGTTTAGAAGCAATTGGCCAATCTTCCTTCTGAAATTAATATGATATTTAAATATCATTACTTTGGAGCTTGTCAGCTTTCATGAACAATGCATGGAAGTTTTCAGTTTAATAATAGTAAGGAAAGAAGGAAATATCAGAGCAATCTAAAATAACACTAAATTTACTGATAGTTTAATTTTATAATGCACATTTTAATTGAACTTTCCTTCATAAGACTTCGTAAATTCTCAACCGTGTAATAGGAGACTTTATGGTGTGAACTTGTTATTAACTTTTTGATAAAGATGTTCCATAAGAATTCATGGAGGTCTTGTGCTGACGGGTGTGGCTCAGTTGGTTGGAGCATCGTCCTGTGCACCAAAAAGTTTGCGGGTTTGATTCCCGGTCAGGGCATATACCTAGGTTGTGGGTTCAATTCCAGGTCAGGTTGTATTCGGGAGGCAACCAATCAATGTTTCTCACATTGATGTGTGTCTCTCCCTCCCC